ATTGCTTCGTCGCCACAATATACTTTTACAGATTTCATTAAACATACTCGACATCATTGTATAGTTCATCGTTGTGGTTTCGTTTTTTGTATATGTACGCAACTCCGCATTTTCTTTTTTATTTGTTCATCTGACTATTAAAAGTGAAGAACGTATAAGAAATGGAGCGAAAAAGTTATTAAAAGCCAGAAATACAACTACTCAAGGTCGAATAGACAACTTTTTCAGCTGTGTTCCATCAAAAAGTAATGTAAGTACTGTCAATGGAAGCTTATTATTTTACAATTTTTTAATTCTATTTAGTTACAAAGATGAACTCGAATCATCTGGTCTATAATACATATTAATGAATTGTGTAGCTTTGATGAACAAGTCCTCAATAACTTTTAACTCATATTACCACACTGGCATTTGTTGTTATCTAGTTAATTACTCTCGCTTAGATTACTTTCATGTGCTCAGGTTCATACTCGTCACTGTATAAACAGAATTCTATCACTATTTTTACTTCTGAAAATGGTAAGCTCTCTTGTCAAAATCTTCGTTTTTTCTTATTGCGATGTTTGAGCGCATATGCGATTGAAATCCTGTCTTTAAATTCCAGAGGCTACTAACAAGTGATAAGTAAAGAGATTTCGTTCCAGTATAAGTACAAGATACGCCAGTGACTATTATTAATTAGTGCGCCAGCAACTTATCGTAATCTGTCGATCCATTGTTTTAAGACTTGATTAAACCAAATGATGTCTGTAACTTCATGATAGTGATGTTAACGTTTGGAAGTACAAATTTTCTTAGTATTTTGCGTACTTAGAGCTTCAGATTTATGAAATGCATATAGTTTGCTATTTCTATACGAGCCTTATTCATCTAGACAATGCATCTGCTCAAACTTATTCTTAATAGGTAAAATAACAGAAAAAGCATACGACAATCCTATTGGTGATTTCACATTTATTCAAATTATTGTTTACGAACTTTTACCTATGTACATTTTCACCTGTAAGTAAATGTTTTGGTGTATGCTTGTCTCATGCGTCGGTTACTGTTCTCACTCTTTTCCTTGTAGTCATCCACGTCGACTCCCAACAGCAATCACAAAAAGGTATCAAACAGTGCATCTGATCGTAAACGTAAAAGTAACGCTGGTACGACGAACGGATACAAAAAGCCAAAATAAACCAAACATCCTCAAAATTTCTCGAAAACTGTTTCCGGTGAATTGTTACCACTTTCGTCAGTTTCATGTGTCCTTCACTTGTGTATGTACTTGTTCATTATAGCTCATCAGATCTTTAGAATAAATTATTTATTGGTGTATGAAATAAGGCTCGGTTTCCTCCTTTATACCAATAGAACACTAATTTGTCTTAGATGAATATCTACACTAGATACCTTGCCAGTCTATTCTACAGGATTTCAACACAACTTGGATCAAGAAGACGTGGCCAACCTAACAAGAACATGAGTATATTTCCATGCCAACAATAGTACCAAAGGGTAGGAAAATACATAGCGCACCTAATATGTCAGACTACTTACTAGTTCGACAAGGTAAAAGACCGATCACTAGCTTCCTAGCCCACACATCAGTGTATGACACCTGAAAATCGTTTGCTGGGGCCATAACTCATTTCTTCAATAGTCCTTTTCAGGACTACGTGCTCAGTCAAATCTCATTCCCGGTCTTGCTACTATTTCACTGTTGATAGATACAATAGACGTTGGAATATTTCTTCACCATTGTTATAGTATTTTTATGTAGCTTTTGGTACCCGTGTAGTAAGGACATACGACACAAGGTACGAAATTACTTAATTGACAAGCGTATCTAGTCTCAAGTGTCTTCATCCCCATGTTTCTAGAATGAGACGTGCGTTTTAATATCTTTCTCTTCGGAGCTAAAGTTTTGTAGCAGGTTTTCATTCCTTATGCCGTAACGTTGGTTATATCATAAAGGGGCTGACCAAGTTTTTTATCGTAGCATTAGTTCTCGCCTTCCAAAATCGTTCTCCTGTATTGGAGTTAGGAATTGCGAAAAATCCTGATAATATGTGTGCCCGGAAATATCACCAACCCATCATTTCTATGGAGTACAAGATCAACGACAGTCAAGGCAAATGTTGGAGACACAGAAGCAAACGAGCAAGTGAAGAAGAGTATCAAAGCCGACAAGCAGAAATACGTTGAAGACCTAGCAACGATAGCAGTAAAAGCTGCAAGAGAAGGAAATATGACACAACGAATAAACTAGCAGAAAATTATAGTAAACCAGAGAGACCAATTAAGGACGAACAAGGCAGGAAATCACAGATTCAAGAACAGAGGAACAGGTGGGTTGAACACTCCGAAGAACTCTTGAGTAGACCAGCCCCACTGAACTCTCCGGACATTAAAGCGGTATACATAGATATTCCTATAGCTGTCACTCCACCAATTATCGAAGAAATCAGCATGGCCATAAGACAAATCAAAAGTGGGAAAGCAGCAGGACCTGAAAACATATCAGCTGAAGTACTGAATTCAGACATAGAAGCAACTGTAAAGATGCTCCACGTTCTATTCAGAGATTTGGGAGTAAGAACAATTGCTGGCAGACCGGGAAGAATACTGCATCAAGGTACAAAAGAAAGATCTGAACAAATGTGAGGACTACAGAGGAATCACGCTACTATCACTACCAGGAACAGTTTTCAACAGAGGATCGCTAAACCAGATGAAAGATTCAGCTTCAAGATCAACAGGCTCGATTCCGTAATTATCGGTTGTACACAGGCCAAATCGCGACACTACGAGTCATCACAATTGATTGATCACTGGGTGGTGATCAATGGCATGCTTGTCTAGTCCTTATTAGTGCAGATCGAATGCTATCGATCATGTTGCAATGTGGCCACCAGTCTAGGTGACTCGACACTGCAGGCACTATATATTGAGATTTAGATTGTGGTTGGAGGTAGTCAACAGGAAACTCTGAACCCGGGTTTCGTGCCACTTGGCACTCGTCAGCAAGTTGTACCTGTAATCTTGAGGGAACTGGTGCTCCCTGGCGGATTCGATCTCGTGTCACCTAGCTTCACAGTCAGAGACGTTACCACTGAGCTAAATCTCAATATATAGTGTCTGCAGTGTCGAGTCACCTAGACTGGTGGCCACATTGCAACATGATCGATAGCATTCGATCTGCACTAAGGACTAGACAAGCATGACATTGATCACCACTCAGTGATCAATCAATTGTGATTACATCTCAGTCCTACAGGTCAGTCGCGGCTCGGATAGCTCAGTAGTAACGTCTCTGACTGTGAAGCTAGGTGACACGAGATCGAATCCGCCAGGGAGCACCAGTTCCCTCAAGATTACAGGTACACCTTGCTGACGAGTGCCAAGCAGCACGAAACCCGGGTCCAGGGTTTCCTGTTGACTACCTCCAACCACCATCTAAACTACGGACCATCGTTGAGCAATCAATTGGATGGAACTCGTCACTTCATTTTCCTTAACTAAGACGAATGAACAGCGCCGATAGGATAACGTTATGCATCCCTCTTCGACATTATGGAGTATTTGACAAGATCACCATACGGACTAAGTGATGCATGTAAGACAACTCACAGATTCATTGCAAGTGGAGATCAGTGTTAGACAAGGCTGATTGCTTGTTCTCGGCTTTTCTTTCTTCCGGTGTTTGATTGGATTATGAAGATTTCCGCATCTCAACAGAATCACGCAAACCTAGGACGCAACTAAATAATCCAGACGTCGTGGAACACCTAGATTTTCTATCCCTTACACAGCAACAAATGCGGATGAAGACAGCCAGTTTAGCAGCCGCCTCTGCGGCAATAGGCCTCAAAATACATTAGGAGACGAATGATTAAGGGACGTCAAAGAGATATGATATTGAAATAACGTGTGACAAAGTATATAATTTCTTGTAAACAGATCGTAAGAATAAGGTTTTTCGCATAGTGGTGCCTTATAAATACTTGAAGCAACTCCATATGAACTGGAATCAAACACTAGCACCAAATAAACAACCACCATTTTCGAATACTCGATACGAAAATGACTACCCCGTAACAATGCTATGTTTCAAAACTGGCTGAGATTCGAAACATTACTAGAAAATACATCAAGCGTACCCAGCAAATGAATTGTTATATGAGAAGCATATTTTTTATACTCTGACACCTTTCTGTTACCTTTTCCGATACACTTAGCTGTTGCATTCAGAATTGTTGTACTGTTTCTTAAGGTTCTGCTCAAAAGTGCAGGTCACAGTTCCAGAGACTATATATAGGAAATCAATTATGGGTCCGATATTCCATTGGTTTGAATAAAAAGGTTGTAAATAAGCTGTATGTTCAACATCAAGTCCAATATTAGCTCAACATGATTCGAAATGAAAAGGAGCACTTGTAAGAAGATAAATCAGTTCAACTTTTATAGCTATAACACTAAAATACTAGTAGTTCGAATGAAGTTTTTTATATATAAAGTTAGCAATAAGGAGACAGTACAGTCGTGATTCGCCTATTTGTCACGTACGCAATATCTGAACCGTTATTAAAGGCGACATACATTTCCCAATAAACCCCAAAAGCAAGAAGCTATTTACCACATCTCACGAATAAATGTCAATATTAAAAATAATTTCCAAGGTATTTTTACGACGAAATTGTAATTTATGCTTTCTAGTACCAACGAATAAGACATTTCCCGAGACGCTAAAAATGTATCACTTACTTAATCAGTTGGTAAATGGTTACCACAAGACTGATCGCAAACGATAACCATTAAATATACCAATCACTAAGGTTCACTTTTGTTCAACTTTGTACGACATATGACACTTGACAACAATTATGGATAATTCAACTAAAACTACATAGTATTAATGTTATAACTCTTCCATTTGATTTACTAAAAACAGCAGTCAACTGGCAATTGGATTCATTAGTTCTGATAGGCATATTCAGTAATAAAAACACAAGTGTGCAATAGTTAATTATAAGATTTCAATTATCACTATACATGTTTATTTACAAAATACTAAGGTGTATAAATTAAAATTGATCATCATCAATCACATTGCTGCTTGAAAGAGGAAGAATGGGCCATGTAAACAGATTTCCGTCAGCTCCGCAGGTATACAATTCTAAACGACGATCGTTCCAAACACATGCACGTATCTAAAATTCATAAAAACTCTGCTGAGGACAAACGGTATTTTAAATATAAGTACTTAGAAGTAAAGCCTCAATAATGGATGCACATCCAAATGCATTCGTGGGATGTGTGCTTCAGTCTGAATCAACGCTAAACTAATGAACCATGAAAAAGAAACAGCACTTAAACATACAAATTAACTAGACCACGACTAACTAGCACACCAAGTTTGGCTTCAGTCATGATGCATTGAACTGAATAGAGTTAGGCAATTCCGCTATTTCGCGCACTCGAAAGGTTGTATTACCTAATGAAGAAACTGGTAGGGATGTAGGAAGCTGATGTAACACTTATCAAACTACTTCAACTATTATTCGGGTGAGGTATGTACCTACAAAGAGACGTTAGGAGATGACAACTAAGATATTGAATTATAGATAAGTCAGCTAATTAGAACCAATCTGAAGTTACTAAGGTTATTAGGGATGTCGCACATTGGCACTAGGATTATGATTCCGATATGTACCAAAGTGAATCTAAGAATAACTGAATTGTAAGTCTGGTCAATAGTAAAAATAAAGTACATCTACAAAGACTTCTTTGCATATTTAGTTAGGCATAAGATATGAATATCAAAGCCACGGTGTATAACAAAATAGTGAGTTAACTAACAAATGAAAAACAGTTGGGATAATTCAAGAAACCCACTTTTGAAAAGTGTCGCGTTATAATTTTAGTCGATGTGTTGTGTTTAGACGCTGAAGCAATTAATAAGCGGTTTTTTACAGGAACAAAAATACATAACGATGGAGCTCCCCACAAATCGCCTATTGACATATGTGCGGTATCCAATCTTATTGGCAAAACAGACGATTGTGGACTCTGATTCCCACTTCCTGAGGAATTAGAACTTGTAAAAGTTTGATTCCCAGCGTCAGAAATTTGGTTACTTTCCGAGTTGAGAATTATGTTTCCAAAGTTCACGGGACGCAATCTAGGAATATGTGATGATTGCTCACAATCACCAGGACCAGACGTCCAAAGACGAAGGGATGCAGCATTTACGGTTAAACCGGAACCACCCCATGAAATTAAATGCAAACCATCTGATGAAAATTTGAGGCCTAGTACAGGTCCTGTATGTGCAATAGCTGAAAAAAGTACAAAAACCTGTACACTTTTTGGGTGGTTGTTTATCTTAAATGTATGATAAAATGGAATGTAAAAGCAGACTGACGAAATTGAAAAATCTCATTTATTTGAAAACCATATCGTATTTGTTTTATGAATGTTCATGTGATTGATTTAAAGAGGATTTACTTCATGAAAATTGAGTAACCCGTAAACTAACGACTCATATTTTGAGTCAACTCATGAAAATGGATAGGCGTAAACCCTAATTAAAAATATGAGAGAAACACGGCTAATATCAAAAAGCATAAGACGATATTTGCACACGCAATTCAACACGGTGTTATATAAAACTTCACAAAGATAAACGATTGGTAAGAAAAAAGCAGGTTGTGTAGAACAATCATCGAGACTAAATGTCTTGTTCATTTTCAAATAAACACACTGGATGAGCTTTGGTAAACAGATGGAATATTTTATTTATTTAAATACGTAAATATTGGCAATGTGAGTTATTCGAGTTAGTTTAACCGTTATATTAGTGAATCTGATAACATGCTTCTACCAGTCATGTAAAATTACCTTGCAATTAGGCGTTAAGTACATACTATACATACGGACACTGATAGTCAACTAATTAGGTAAGCTAATACCGGTCACATAAATATTGAAAGGATTTTTCTCATGTAAGAGATCTACATCAACGTTACCTGCAATCATTACAGCTGTTTTCAGACTGTCAGCAATCACATATTCGAAGAATAACAATGTAGTTGGAATAGGTTGTATACAGAAAATTCAAGATATTAATAAGCTTCTCAGGCACACCCTTCTTCAATAGACAATCCCAGAGAACAGTCCTGTCCAACGAATCGAAGGTTGCCCTGATGTCAAGAAACATTACGATTGTTGACCTGTAATAAGTATGAGGGTGTTCTAACATTTGGCGTAGGTTGAAGATATGATCAATACATCTTCGACCAGAACGAAAACCAACCTACTCCTCGCGAGTCAATCTTCCACGGGTTCTGAACAATCTACGAAATATGATGGAAGCCAATAGCTTGGACGCAATCGGAAGTAGACCTATCTCCAGATAGTTTTTGCATAGGTGATGTGGACCCTTTTTAAAGATAGGGACGATTATCGACTCATTCCATGATGTTGGAACAGTCTCTAACTGCCAGACCTTTGCAAACAACTCAGCCAGTTCCGTAACCAGAAAGTCACCACCATCTTTAAAAGGGGTCGGAGTTAGGTCATCTGGGCCTAGTGGTTTGTAGCGCCTCAAGAATTGGAGTTTCTTCGGTATTCCGTGACACGCTACGATATCCTGATTACCACTTCGGTCACTGTTTTTGCCCATTGGTCTGCAATGGGTACGGCATCTACCCAACGTGTAGCATGTTCCGTCATCACTAGCAGGTGCTGGTTACCACTCGCCGTCTGTAGAAACGGTCCCATCACATCCTCCGACCATAGACCACCAACTGCGGTTACTGAGATTGACTGTAATGGCGGTTGTGCGTATCGATCGCTTTTCATTAATTGACACAGTTGGCAAGTTAACACGTATTAAGCCACATTGTCTCTCATGCCTGGCCAGTATGCACTTTGCCGTAGTAAATCCGTCGTTCCTGTGATGCCTGCATGTGCTACCTGGTGACACTCGTGTATCATCTTACGCCGCCAGTCTTTCGGGATCACAGCCACCCGATTCTCGTCATCGTCCTGCCAGGTCAGGACTCTATATGCGTTCACTCTCAGTCAGTTCTTTTGCCGAAGCAGCATTATTACCTCCTTGTCCATTGTTCGTTTGTCGACGTCTGCTACCTCTCTTATCACTCTGACTAACTCTCGAAGGTTAGGGTCAGCTTTCTGCTGCTGGACGAGTTCTAATGGGTCTCCCTCTAAACTCTTCACCGCGTATGCTGTCAATGGAAGGTCGGCTTCCATGTCTGGTCTTGACAAGTAATCCGCCATTACGTTTTCCTTCCCTGGAGCATGGCCGATACTGAAGTCGTACTCTTGCAGATGTATCATCCATCGCGCCAACTTCCCTTGGTGTTTTCAACCACTGCAGGGGTTTATGGTTAGTCTCAATGTGGAATCGTCTACCTAAAAGGTACGGTCTCCATTTGTTTACTGCCCACACTACTGCTAAACACTCCTTGTTTATCGTTGAATACTCCTGTTCGGCGGGTGTGAGAACGCGACTCGCCTATTCCACCACTCTACCAGACTGACTCAAGACGCACCTACATTATGATCACTTGCGTCTGTGTCCACTAAACGGTTTCTCGGGTTCAGGCAGCCACAGTGTCATCCGACGATCGTCTAGCATGTTTTTGATCTGGTTGAACGTTCGTTCGGCAGTCTCAGTTCACGTAAACTTAGTGTTGCTCAACAACTTATATAGGGGTGCTGCTATTTTGTTGAAATTCTTGACAAACCGATTGTAAAACGCCGCCAAGAACTGTCTCAACTTTCTTTTCGAATTAGGCACTGAAACATTCCTTATGGTAAGAATTTTCTCCGGCAATGGTTTTATTTCTCCATTTCCCACTTTATGTCCCAACAACGTGACGCTGCTTTTCGCTATCTGCGACTCATCCTTATTAATTCGAAGTCCAAATTCGTGAATTCGCTTTAAGACTGTTTCCACATGCTTGACGTGATCTGTTTTTGTCTGACTGTACACAACTACATCGTCGCCATATACCTCGACGTTGCCTAGATCTTTGAGTAGTAGCACTATTAATCTTCTGAACGTAAACGGTGCACCCGCCAACCCGAACGGTATTCGTTTAAATTGATACTGTTTATTACGTACAGTAAATGATGTCTTGCTTCGATTGCTATCTTTTATAGGCAGTTGCCAATAACTTGACCGCAAATCCAGCACTGTAAACACCGTAGCATTCTGTAGCCGATCTAACGTTTCCACCACTGTTGGCATTGCACAACGTTTCAGATCTGTTATATTATTCAGTTCTCTGAAGTCGACACAAAATCTATACTTCCAATTAGGTTTCTTTACCAAGAGCACCGGCGAGCTATACGGGCTGTCCACTTGCTCAATTATACCTTCTTTCAACATCTCCTGAACCTATCGATTTACCTCGGCCTCTAAATGCACCGGGACACGACGTGTCGCAAATATATTTACTCGGTCGTTCTTTATCGGGATTTTGTGCTTTACTTTGTCACAAAATCCATACGGCTCCCCATCTCCAGTGAATAGTTTCGCATACTTTGTGCACAACTCGTTAGTGTTTGGTTTCTTCGACGAGACATCCGCTGCCACTCTTATTTCAGTCACTTCGCTACTTGCCCCCTAATACCCTGGTACGGCCGAGAGTCCGCTCTCCCTCACGAAATGCTCTCACACGGCCGCGCGTATACAGCCTCTGCCAGGGAAGTCCTACTCATTGCCGTCTCGTGGCGGGGGTGTTGTTTACGAAAAGCGAATGTCCGGCGCTTTAACCGGATCACAAACCAATGGTGCACATGGGCTCCAGTATCCTGCGGGAACAAATGGCGTATGAACCACTCGTTGGTCATCGGCTACCATGGGATTGCATCTCCTTACGATGCTCCACTCCCTTGTGGGTTAGACCTTTAGGTTAAAGTCTCGGGGAGTGGCCCCCTAAGATAACCACCTGCTTCGGTTTCGGCACCCGGGCAGTATCACAGCCCACACACAAATGATGAACTCTCTATGTTTATGGAAATCACTTTTCTCGCTTCGAAAAACAATCAATTGATTCAAATTATTATCATTACAATTATTGTCATTGTCATTATTATTATTAATATTATTATTATTATTATTATTATTATTATTATTATTATTATTATTATTATTATTATTATTTACCACATTATTCACCCTCTTTTATACTTATACAGCGGCTCGTCTTTGGTGGAAATTCGACTGTATCTAAACGTTCTCGTGTCACTGTCCGGTTGAAAATTACATGTTTCCACTGAATATGAGTACTGAAGCAGTTTTTCTGAAACCACGTGCACCATTCAAACTGGCTGCCTTCAACGTTCGCACACTTATGCAGGTTGGACAACAGATAGGGCTGGCCATGTCTTTGGAAAGTCTTAATATTGATGTCTGCTGTCCATATCCAAGACTCTGGTGAAGTACTACAAATTCGCTCTACATCTGTCACTTCAAAAAGCTTGTTTTACGTGCGCTTATCCGGGGACCCTGTGGCATCTTCGTCTGGTCTCGCTGGCGTTGGTGGCGCACTAAGCGCTAGAGCTGAGGCAGCACTAATCGATTGGATCCCCATTAACAGTCGGTTATGTGCTGTTAGATTAGAAAGTTCCATCAAAGTGAGAAGAAATCGGCGTGAAAAACAATGTCTTTTCGTCATCTCCGCTTATGCCCCGACAGATTGCAGCCCGGATGCAATCAAGGATGAGTTTTACCACCAGTTATCTGTTCTTCTCCAGAAAGTGTGTTCGACAGATATTGTAGTACTAGCCAGAGACTTGAATGCTCAGGTCGGGCGTCTAGGCACAGAAGAGAGTCGTCTAGGTGGCCGATGGGGACTTGTCGGTCGCAGGACAGAAAACGGGGACCGTCTACTGCAACTTTGCACAGACCACAACACGTTTCTGGCTAGCACTAACTTCCGGCACAGTCATCGCCGATGTGCCACCTGGCGTCCTCCCTCTGCATCTCAAGCCTGAACTCACATTGATCACATCGCGATCAGCTACCGCTAGCGTGGTTGTGTACAAAACTGCCGCTCCTTTTGGAGTACCTATCTGGACTCTGACCATGCCTTGGTCTGCGCCAATCTTACCTTACTTTCCAGTGGACAACGAAGTGACCGCCATCAACGGATTGATGTTAGCAAGCTGGTTGCAACTTCTGTTGCTAGTAAGTATCGAACCGAGCTAGTTTCTAGGCTAGCTACCATTCCACCGAAAAGTATAGATGAGCATTGGTTCCAATTGCATGACGCCATGAAAATGGCGGGTACAGTCAGCTGTGGGT